GGTCGAGATTCGAACTCACGACCTCCCGATCACGAAGCGAGCGCTCTACCGACTGAGCTACGTGAATGGTACTCCATCTTGGAGAATGTTATAAATTAAACTTCTAGGAAATTATAGAAAAAAATTAAAGTTTTTTTTATCTAAAACATTATTTGATTTCTTCGGCAATAAGAAACAGAATTTACAACTCGGTTACTTTTACAAGATGCATAAGTAATTAATTTTGTCTCTTTCACTCCGAGAAATTTCATGAATACTAACCGCATAAGATGGACAGACAATTTAATAAGAGCTTGAAATGATTTTAAAATAGTATTTTCTTGTGTAAGATAAATTTTACCGATATCATCGATTTTTTCACCTTTGACATTTAGCATCTAGACTGAATAAGCTTGTGAAAATACCATGGGTTTAGCTTTACAGAAAAAAAAAGAAAGTACTTCGACAATTTATCAAATTCTATCATAAGCATTGGATCATTATATTTCCTTATTTATTTTTTATCTTAATCTATCTTTGAAAACCATATTTGAAATTCTAGAACAATTCTGATTTTGTTTAATTATATTATTTAACATGTCTGCAATTAAACTTGGGCATATTTTATAGTCTATATTCACAATTTAAAATTTTAGTTACTGTAAATAATTTAAACATAGCTAAACACCCTTCCATTATCTGTTCAACATATTAATTTTAGTATCTCAAACTCGATAACAGTTGTGTGAAAGATGGAAATAATAACTGGTTCTTGTACAGCTTTTTGTCAGAAAACCATACATTTATCTAAAAAAGAATAGAAGTTCTAAATGTTTAAATCACCTTACCAAATTGAATCATTTTTCTGTTGTCTTTTTCCCTATAAATGTTATATCAGCCCGATATTACCCAAAAAATGCCATAGTAAATTATAGTTTACTATTATTACTCAATTTATCAGACAAAAATGTTGAATGGTGTTTTTCATTTACGACCTTAATAAAAGTTTTTATATTATTTTTTGGTTATTTGTTAAAGATTTTTGGAAGAGATATAAAATGTGACTCGGGAAAGCCAAAAGTCACTTTTTTAAAGTTGTAGGTATAGAACAGTGACAGTGATCGAATTCAGAAACCCATAAAAAAAAAAAACTAGGCGTGAACAGGGCAAAAAACACCTTGTGGACCCATTGAAACATCAGGGATCAGGTGCCTAAAAGAAGTGACACATCCCCTGTCGTCCGGTCACTTCAACCAAGAGCTTTCTGTATTGATACTTGGTATTACGAAGTAATCCATAGTCAAAATTGGAATAAAACAAAGCCCGTAGAGTTAATATGATACATGTCCGTTCATACGATCCAAAAATGGTATTGTAAACAATGTCATTATAACGACGGGAAAAAAAGTGAATTGCATACTTTTAACAAGAAAGTTGAAACCTCAGTAACATCAATTGATTTGTTAGTAACCTGCCTCAGTTTAACTTTGGTGGTACACGGAACAAACTCCTGCGTTCCGAAACAGTTTGGAGACATAAACAAAGGTATGCAGTTGATAGTTGAATTATACTAAAAGTACATAAATTGAGGAGTTGACGATGGAAAACTTGAAGTCGACCCGTTTATTACTATATCGTTAAGTTGACCTCTGATCTATTCAGTGGTTTCAGTTTTTTTAACTTCCCATCCGGAAATTTTTGAATAATTCCTTCTTCAATGTAATAGAAGAATCGATGGACAAATAAAGGAACATAGCTATTTCTCATCAAAATTCCAAAATGATTCCATCAGAGAAACCTTCTCTAAAAAGACAATGAAGATTATTTCGACAAGACACTCGATCATCTTTTAAATATCACCTTTTGAGCATACAGAATCTTAGTAAATTTGTAAATCATCTACAGAATCTGATTATCAATCATATGATTTGAGAATTTTCGAGTTCAATTTTCATCAAAGAAGCGGAGATACGGTTAGCTCAGTCGGTAGAGCGCTCGCTCCGTGATCGGAAGGTCGTGTGTTCGAATCAAGGCCACGACTGAAAAAAAAGTTAACAACTGTTCCTTTGCCAAACTCTCGGTACTTCGAAGTGAAAGTTGCAGGTCCTTGGGATGAGAACTTAGAAACCGTGATCCTGTGTCACAGTAGGCGTTGGTACGATTAAGAACTCTCACTGTTCAATGGCTTTGAATGCCGTAAAAGAACATACAATCAATCAATCACCAACGAAGCACTTGTCTATGTATCAAAAAGTCAGTAATATTTAATTTCTGAAAGAAGATATATGTAAGATATGTTGAAACGTCATACGTTTTGATATTTTAGATTTGGGGTAAATAATTTTTAAGAATCCACGTTAGATTTAGACCATTTCAAGATTCATTGTAACACAATGCACCTTAGGCTTGTATCTGTTCAACATGTGCTATCAGATTGATATTTGAATGGAAAACGATTGGTTGATTAATTGTATGTTATTTTACGTCCCATTTGAGAATTTTTCACTCATATAGAGACGTCACAATATACTGATGAAGGGCTTCAAATTTTGACCTTTACTTGGCACTCAGGGCCATTGAGCAGTGAGGGATCCTTATCGTGCCAACGCCTGCCGTAACACGGGGCCTTGGTTTTAAAGGTCTCATCCGAAGGACCCGCAACTTTTACTTCAAAGTGCCGAGCGCATGGCGAAAGAACAGTTGCAACCCATTTTTTATCGACTTAGGTCAGTCGCAGCCGAGAACCTCCCCGTCACGGAGCAAGCCCTCTACCGACTGAGCTACCGTGAACGGTGAATGGAAAACGAAAATGTGTGGCTGGATCGAGAATCGAACCTGGGACATCTGTAACATTGGTCAGGTGATCTAATCACAGAAGTTCACTGTCCTACAAAGTACTATATGATATGCTAACAATAAAGCTTTCAACTGTGGCATATGTTTACTAAATCATGTCATGAAAGATATTGCGCTGATAGTAAATACAAATATTGAAAAAAACAAAAAAATAACTGAACCATCCAAATTTTCTAATTCTTTATTCAATATTGAATTATATATCAGAATACAGCGATGGCTTCAAACACATACATCGTTAAGTGGTACATATTAAGGAGAACCTACTGGGTCTAACTAATATATGCAAGAAAAAGGGATATGATTCTTATCAATTTCCCAGATATTTGAATACAATCATTTCTCTAGAGCAAATTCTGAATTTTAACAAAGCGGTTTATTATTAAAGAATGTGTTTGTAAAATTACAACATAATTTATACTCTACAAAATATTGTTATTTATATACACAAAGTCTACCTTTTTATTTGATTGTGCTACACGTTATACTCAATCTAGTTAAAAAGATACATACATCAATTAGATTATAGTTGAATGTCATTTTTCATATTTGTTTTAATTTGTTTTCAAATTAGCAACATACATGATATAGATTGCATTGTCCCCATTTTCCACTTTTATTATCAAAAATATACTCCCTTGTACAATATATAATCTTCATGATGTTGAGGTATTAGTCGAACAACATTTTTAAAAGAATCTACATTTTTATTATCATTCTGATAATAACATACGTAACTTTTGGGATTTGTTTGCCAAGAGGTTTTTGTTTCTTTGTTGTTTTTTCACAATGAATTCGAGGAAGAAATTAAAATTTCTAGAAAGTTAAATTGTTTTTAAGTTTCTTAAAATAAAATATTTGGAATTTTTTCGAGAAAGTTGTCCAAGAACCTAAAAAAAGTTTATTTTTCTGAAAAAATCCCAATCCTGCCTTTATTTGGAATCTTTTTAAGTTCCTTTCTTGTCCCTTTTCTGTCATTACTGCAACAAAAAAGAACAATATAAGTAAAAAGATGAAGCAAAGTGAATGATAATGCTACAAAAATCTCTCACTATTAAAAATTTTAAACCTTCAACATTGATCTGCCCGTTATTGTTCCCTTCTTTCAGATAAGTGATTATTATGTTTATGGATATGTGTAGATCCATGTGCAAAATATTTATAAAATCAAAATTGCTGTACATCATACGTATCAAAGTAACATAAATTGTCACTGCACTTAATCGAAAGGGATGGGTAATTGTTCAGTTTGTTTTGATTGATCTAAAACTAGAATCTTTCAGTTTGGTTTTATTGATTACATATACTGGGAATGGAATCTTTGATTTCTTGATTTACTTGATACATATAATAGTTTTGGGATATTTTAGTTTCATTTTATTGATATAGTACATAATTAATGTATAGAAAGAATCAGGTTGATTTTTTTCATTTACAAATTTATAGAAGGATATGAAAATGTAATCAAATATAAATTTCCTAACCATATCTTTTGTTAAGAAGAAAATATACTGTTAACGATGTGTGTACGCGTATGCATAATTTACTCTAAATGTGCGATAGGATATATTTTGCGTACTAGCGCCTTAAATGCATATGTTTCATTCACTTTTGACAAAATGAAATTCGTATCATCGCGGAAATATTTTAAACCAATTGAATTTACTGGTAACAATATTCGCTTTTGCATCTTTCGCGCTGTTTTTTCCCCGCTTATTAAATTATACATTACTTATTGGTTAAAACTAATACTTGCAAAAGTCTTGCTGCAAATACGCTAATTAATTTATTAAATTATACATTACTTATTGGTTAAAACTAATACTTGCAAAAGTCTTGCTGCAAATACGCTAATTAATGATTACGCTAAGCAATTGAAAAAGATTGCGCTATGTTTTGAGTGCGCGAATATATGTAAGTATACAGTAGCCTCCACGTGTAATATGTTTGCTAATTAATTCATTTGATTTACAAAACACGTAAATATTCAAGTTAACAGTATCTATGACTTTTTTTTTATTTTTATAAATTTTTATTTGGAATAGACACGGAGATACGGATATATGTATCACGACAAAATGTGTTAAATGTTAAAAACAACTTCTAAATCAGTTAAAAGGGTCCCTCAAATTTGCAAAACTGTCAAAAATACAGTTTTTATTTGCTTAATATGTGAAAAATACCGTTAAAGATTTTATTCGCCGTTTGAGACGATCAATTTCGTTGGCAAGCATTTTCTTTTCTCTCTGCATATTGTTCTCAAATACCTGAAACAGAAAATTACTTCTGTTAAACATATAGGTTCCTCCAGGTGACAAGATTTGTAACGATATCGTCTTTGTTTGTCATTCCCATTATTACAACTGTATTTTGGAAGAACTTTTTTTTTTAATTCTACATCTAAAAATCTAACGTATACTCAAAATTCACTATCTAAGGATGAAATTCTTCAAAATAACAATTCAGTCTTTAATACTTCAAACATTCCACTCAACAAAAGTGAGTTCGAATAACCCTACCTATTTACCTCTCCTATACGTGAATTCTTTTCATAAAAATCCTTGCAAAAATACATTAAAGAGCCAACAAATGCTCTACTAAGCCCCATTCAATACTTCAAATAAAAATATTTACCGCTGTGAAAACGAAACTTCAGATGTACTGTGCTACAACATGCTCTAGAAGTGGTGTCAATCAAATGTGGGTTCTCAAAAATTTCCAATCAAAAAAATTAAATAACATTTTAAAAAGTTATTCAAATAAAAACGTATGACTTACGACATTATACAACCATTCAAAATATCTTCGAAGACCAGGTCTTCTGACAATCTTATAACAATCTGTTGGAGTTCCGATGGGCACTAATTGTGCGTCATACCAATTGAGGGCATTGTTTTTGTATCAAATTTGATAAAGGATTATTTCGTCTCCGTTGATCAATGCACAAGGCTCACAGCGAGTGTGACCAGTCGATGGGGGATGTTTACCCCCTACAAGACGCCTGATCCCACCTCTGAAATTCACGGGGGTCTGTGTCTTATGCCCTGTTCACAATTTGTATTGTATGTGAATGATTTGAGATCGATCACTGTTCGTTATGTTCAAATCAATAAGCTGAATGAATAAGTGGATGTTACATGTATGAAAATAGCATCAATATAAATAAATTTAACATTAGAGAATGCCATTATAACATATACTTTTTCATTCAGTTTATTCCACTTATCCCATATATTTATTTCTGTATACATGAGCATTGTTACGCAGCTAGGTTAAGGACGCCCATAAAATATACGCATTGATATATTTAGCGAAAATGAATACAAATTTAACATTTTTTAACAGCATAAGTTTAAAAAAAAATGTGAATTGTGGCGTTTTGCACTTGTATATATCGGGTCTCTGCTGAGCTCGGCCAAAGCGATATCAGCTGTTTGTCACGTGACAGGTTTAAAATTAGAACATACATGTACTACTACAAAGATAGTAAAAGTTCAACGATATACGGGTATCTTTCCGCTATAAAATTTATTCTGTTTTCTTTGAGACAAATTCCTTAACACGAAAAGTGCTGGGAGCAACTTCCTAATGCTCGGGATTTGTTTAAAATTTAGCCTTCTTTCTAATAACTCCCGACAAAAATGCAATGCGCATTGTAATAATGTTACATTACGGAATAAATAAACAATGCATAACCAGCTCCCAGCATTTTTCACAATAGTAGGAATAATAGCTACACGTGTTTAAAAATTTGGAATTTATAGTGAAGCGGATATCGTTGAACTTTTGATATTTTTGAGGGGTTGCCCCTAACAAAAAAAATATAGTTAACTATAGTTTACTATAGTTAACTATAGTTAACTATAGTGATAACTTTGACACTATGAAAACTTTGATTCACTATAGTGATAACTTTGACACTTTGATTTACTATAGTGATAACTTTGATACTTTGATTTACTAAAGTGAAAACTACGAAAACTTTGATTTACTATAGTGCTCACTATGAAAACTTTGATTTACTTTGGAGAAAACTTTGATTTACTATAGTGATTACTTTGAAAACTTTTATTTACTATAGTGATAACTTTGACACTATAGTGATCACTTTGAAAACTTTGATTTACTATAGTGATCACTATGACACTATAGTGATCACTTTGAAAACTTTGATTTACTATAGTGACAACTTTGACACTTTGATTTACTATAGTTAACTATAGTAAACTATAGTTAACTATAGCATTTTTTTTTGTTAGGGATGGACCTGTCATTCTAGCACGTTACTGTAAAAATGTGCTCCTTACGGCTTTATATAAAGTCACATTATAAATTTAGTTTGACAATAAGATGTGGTTTAATATATTTCAGAATATGTCTCTCATTTGGTCCGACTACGCGTGTTTTGTATTTATTTTTATTTTTACAAGCTACGATAAAAGCTTGATCCACGCCTCAAGTACAGAGAAACTGTGTGTCAAACTAAGAAATGACGTCATCTCAGTAAGTAGAGCGAGATCAAGCTGGCTTTCATTCTACATTCGCTAAGTGCTATTATGGCAAGATAAGTTGCATATCCATTTATAATTATAATATTTATGAGGAACGAAAGTATTTAGTGTGTTTTAAAAAGAATATATAGTATTTATTCGTCGAGATTCATTTGTATTGTTTTAACGTGACGTCATCATAGCTTTCCCGAACCTCTGCATAGGCTGACGTATATATGGGAGTCCTTAACCTAACTGCGTAATTAAAAACATTAAATAAGAAGTTTGCTTTAGGCATATTTACCTTCCGCCGTCCTCTGTCTCGTATGAGGGCCGACAGTGTATAGAGTATTGGGTTAAGAGCAGAATTCACTGGCAAAACCAGCACTATGATCCAGGCGTAGACATCCAGCGAAACATCAATACCATAAAACGTCAGCATACCTAGAAACGCGAGTGCCATAAAAAGTCAACATACATAGAAACGTCAATACCATAAAACGTCGGCATATCTAGAATGATTGGATCTAAATGGGTTTTTTTTATAATCAGATAATTTTTAGCATATTTTATTTCGACGATGACGATTCATTGAAAAATGCATCATGAGTTTATACATTTTTTCCCCTAAAATCCAATTAAAACAATTTATTTAGTTAACTGATTTATTACATATTTGTGTTTAGTATCATAGATTTTCTGTAATTTTTAAAAATAGTTGACACGGTGCACATACAGTTCCAAGTTAAAAAACAATCATTCAAAAATTCAACACAAAGTCTGTCATATCTGTTTCATATTTGGATGTTTTACTGACTAAGATAGATATAGAAGGATAGCTACTTCTAAGTGTTAATATACTTTTAAAAACCATTGTAATGAAGTAACTGCATACATGCAGTGAAGGTAATATAGATATCCATAATAAATAGGTTTGTAGCGTAGATAGTACCATTTACACTGCATGTATCAGCTGTGTGTCACGTGACTGGTATAAGCTGAATGTAGAAAATGCCACAAGTGCAAGGGCATATGCATGTTTTGGGAGAAAAAAATAATACACATTAAAAGAGATTTTCATCGTCTACATGAGAATCGCTGAGAGCTAGTTTGTGCTGTTTTGGAAGTTCTAATAAAATTTGGAGAAAATGTGTTCAACAGCAAGATATTCCTGCTTCGCTTAGCATCCATTACAGTTTAAAATATACATAATATAAGCAATTTATATTCAATATTTCTGCTCAAACAGTCAGCGATATTTTCATAATAATTTAAGCATGTTTGTAATTATTAAACCATTTAATCCTCTGGATCAATTTTATTGCGTCAAGTCAAGACTAAAGACGTCGCATTTATCCAGTACAAACTTACCAATAATTCCAACATGTATCCAGCACAAACTCGCCAATAATTCCCACATTTATTTAGGACAATTTACCAATAATACCCATAGGTATGCACACAAACTTACCAATAATTCCATCAGGTATCCAGCACAATTTTACAAATAATTCCCACATTTACCCAGTACAAACTTACCAAGAATTGTCTCATATATCCAGCCAAAAAAATACCAATAATTCTCTCATGTATCCAGCACTTACCAATAATTCCCACAGGTACCCAGCACAGGAGATCAGTGATGACCACGGCAACAACAGACTTGGCTAGTGCTATTTCCCTTCGACGACGGTTGGAGGCTTGACTCTTTCTTCCAGATTTATTGACTTCCAAGACAATCAGAAACTGCCCAATACTGATACCAACGAAAATAAGGAAATTCAACCCAACGAAAATGACCATGGAATATTGCCAACCACTTTGTCTATGGATAGATAAAGGTAAGCTTATACATATAGGAGACTGAGCATAAAAATCTTCAACGATTGACAACTCCATAGCCAAAATAGGAAATAAGGCAATAGAAATAGAAAGAGCCCATGAGAATACAGATGATCCAATGACCCATGCTCGTTTATTCGGAGAAAAGGGATGTTTGATTGCTACAAATCTGTCGATAGTAATGAGCAATACAAAAAGAGCTGAGGCTTCGCTTGACATCGTGGCTAATATCCCAGCAAAAGTACAAACACCACTATGCCGCCATTTATAATCCTCAAACCCATATATACCAGTATAGATAAGATTTACAATGGCTATAATATATAGATATACCCCCATGAACAAATCAGCAATACTCAGATTACAAGACAAAATCAAATATTCCGTTGAGGACTTATCTTTAAATGTAGTGATGTTATTTATGAAGGCAACAATATTTCCAAATGTAGCCAGAAATGCCATATACCAGATAACAACACTAAGAACAGGAACACTTATTAACTGTTCACAAGAAGATATCTCATTATGTGGAGAAACACAATGGACTTCATAGATGCTACGTGGTTTTGCACAACATAGGGAGAATATATCCACTTGGAGAAATTGTAGGTTGAATAATCCAAGAAACATTCCTTTCATGGGCATTATATCATTATTTTGTAAGAACAGATTTTCCAAGTTCTCCATATTCAAAAACAGTCCTTCACCAAAATGTCTTATTCTATTATTTGATAAATCCAGAGTATTCAATGTTTTCAAATTCCAGAAAGCCTTTTCATGAATATGATATATCTTATTGTTGTTTAAATATAAGAAATGAAGGCTTTTTAAAGATATGAAGTAATATTTTTTAACATCAATTATAAAATTATTTGATAGATCCAAAGAAAATAGCGACTTTAAGTCCTCAAAAGTATTGTCCTCAATGTCGTGAATACGATTGCTTCGCAGAATCAAGATGCTTAAATAGGAAGCTGATTTAAAATCTCCTTTTTCTAGGAATGTTATAATATTGGAAGAGAGGTCTACAAATCTTACGGTCATCAGTTCAATTTGAAAATGACTTATTTTTGTTAATGAACAATTTTGCATTGTAAAATAATAGTTTGATTGAACAAGTATTTTTTTAACATCTGGAAGAAAACTATTTTGATCATTTAAAATTATTTTTGGCATGCTTAATTGCCCATATGACTGCTGAGTAGCTACTGATGCTTTAAACAGTTTTGAAATGAATACATATGTGTAATTTTTTTGTTTGAAGTTCTTATTAATTTGTTCTAAAAGTTTTTGGAAAAGATATTCCCAGAACAATATTTTAATATCCATATTGTCAGATGTGCGTAAATGCATGTCGTAATAAATATCGTAAAATGATAATTCTGCTTCTAAACCTTTTATATACCCTGTACCACTAGTATGAACAATCTCAAGTGTACTGTTTAAACTGTTTGCAAAAAAGGATATCTTAATGTATTTTACAGTGCAGTTTATCAAGTGTAGCACTTGTAATTGCGTTGAAGGTATATCTCCTTGGACAAGAGTTAGAGTTTCAATTGTACTGTCTTGAATATGAATATGATATAAATTATCGACAACTGTTCTGTCAATTATCAAACGTTTTATGTCTGATGCAGTTATATTCAATGAATAGACATAAGAAGAATAAAGTTCATGAAAAGAAATTTCGTCACAGGAAACAGATTGCCATTCCAAAAAGTGATGAACATTTGATATGTAACTTAAACAATCCATTGCCACTTTAGATGATAATGGAACACAATGCTTTGGACATCCTTGAAAACATTTTCGTAACCCATAGGAGATATTACATCTCAAAGTTTTGACACCTAGACAGTTATTGGCTAAACCACTCCACATCCCCACTGAGTTACCAAAATTAGCCTTAGTTTGATTATTTAAGCCCAAATTGACAGCTCTTAAGTTTAGAGTCGAAAGCCTCAGAAAAGTCTTGTTTTCAAAATTTCTTTCACTCTTCAGTTTATGGTTATTTAAAGAATCGTTGCCTTTTAGCAGTTTTGAAATTGCTATGCTCCCTGGCAGAACAGCAATATCAAATTTACCTAAAAATTGAGAAAACATTCTTATAAAAATATTTTGTTTAGGATCACAAGAATTTTATTCCATATGGAATGAATATTTTATTTCTCATACTTTCAATAGTCTTACAGTTTTCTTCGTCACTCTTGTCGTTGCAATCCTCATTTCCGTCACAAAATAAAGTCTTTGAGATACACTCTTTACTTCTTAGGCATCGGAACTCCCAGACTTTGCAATGCACCGTAACTTGAATTTAGAACAAATAAAGTGAGCTGTAGAAATTCTTGATTTAAAAAAAGGAACGAAGACAGAGATATGAGATACATTATTCATTTTATGATAAAAGTGAAACATTTCATTTGCCCATGTAAGCCAAATGTTCATGTGGACAATAATGTCTGATCGAAATTTGTCTGCTGTTTTATTCCTGTTGTTTACTATGTTTTGATATTTTTCTCCCTAGAACGAGTTTCAAGCAAACGTGCCTCTAAAATTCTTATTAAAGAAGGATATTTCTTTAATAAAAGTTTTTATTATATACCCGAGTGTATATCACTCAGTTTTACTGTAGATATCGTACAATCAAGTTACGATGTAATCCGACTTTCCGGATTACCACACTGTGGTTTTCTGAATCCATATCACCCTTTTCTGAAATTGATGAATCAGATGTAGTACACAGAAACATGACGTTATTTTTCTTGCGCTTCATGTTCCTTGACAAAATGATTTGTTTAATGGAAAAAAATATTAAATATTTGATCTCAAGTGTTTTTTAACTATATTTTGCTAGTTGTAAGGGAGATGTATAATGAATTTATCATTATAATAGTAACCTCGCGTCTCGTTTGATCTGATGATCCACGGCTATCAACTCGAGGTGATACGACTCTTCTGATCGAGTTACTGTTATAATAATATATATTTATCCCCTTGTAATGAAGAAAAAATAGCTGATATAGGACTAACCCAATATTAAACAATGATTTTATGCAAGAAAATTTTACCTTTAAAACTAAGAACATCATTTCCTTGGACAAAATTGAGTCACAGCAGAATTCGTATGAAGAAAAATTATATGTTTTTTTCTTTTTAAATTCCCTTTCGTTTTTGAATAACAAGCGTTCTAATAATCAGTTTTCTATCTTAAAAATAAATATCCGAAAAAATTATACCATACCAGTACAGGGTCCATTATCCATGAATATGTCGTCTATAATTGCGTAACTGGCGGATGTATTGTAAAATATGGATTGGAAGACAATCTTAAAAAAAAAAATCATCTACTGCATACATTTTTCGCTAGTTTAATCCCACACAATAAAATATAAACAAAACACTGATCGCAATGCACTTGTCGACATAACGTCACCATAGTAATATTTGATGCATTATATGTGTTATGCGAGGCGGATCAAGTAATTTTTTCACAGTATTATTAAACAAAATACTATAAACAGGTGTTCGATAGACCTTTAATACTAAAATGCAACCTTTGTTTAGTGCCATTATTTAATTATTACCTAGAAAATGTATTGAATTCATTTTACTGTGTGTACAGGATTGACATGTTTAATATCGAGGTGCCTTATTAAATCACCTTTTCGCAAGGACATACACTTAATATATCTTGACCATTTGTTGAATATACATAGAAGGAAATTTTTCTTAGCTTGCTTAGCTGCTTTCCCTTATTTGTGTAGCATCACCTGCATATGGAGTTCATGTCTTCCAGCTGATTCGTTCGTTACAAAAGAACATGCTCTACGTACAAACGTTTTCTAAAACGAGGCAAGCTATTGAAAAACTAGTTGATTAAATGATAAGAACCACACGCTGGTGTGACCGGGCGACAAGAGATGCTTACTCCTCCATGGCATTTAATCCCTCCTCGGATGTTTTTCAGAGGATCGTGTTTAATCTGCTCCAAACTTGTATTGTTTCAATGGACTTTTGAGCTTGATTACTGTTCGGTATCTCCATAATTCATTTCACCTGCATATGGTGTTTATGTTTCCCAACTGACTCGATACGCAAGAGCATTTCTCAGTAAGATAAATTTGTAAATCGACACAGGCTACTGAGAAATAAAATGCTGTAAAATATCTTATCTTCTTTGGAGTCAGAAATCCGCAAATTCCACGACCGTCATAAGGACTTTGTTTGCAAGTAATATGTACTTTTTTGTGTTTTGAAAGACATTTTCCCCAACAACTTCTAAGTAATTATATAATTTTCTACTAATTTGAGTACGCATTACGTTTACCTAATCAATAAAGAGGGCTCCCGTCGGGTATTACCTGTTCACCGGGAGTACCCACTATTACCAGTTTCAAAGAATGCGGAACAAATCAACCACTGACTGTTGTTGTATTTAATAAGTGAACCTGATTTTACTTCTGGCGATTATGTCATGTTTATAATTCTGTTACCTCAAAACAAGCACCTGATTTCACCTCTGTTTTTTTTCCATGTTCATAGTTCGTATTTACTAGATGAATGAGATGGAATACTGATTGTTCTCTTGGCTTTTTTGATTTAAGTGCATTTATCTCTTCCATACAGCACATAAAGCTTGATATAAATTAAACGAATTTGAAAAAAAAAAAAATGAAATTATCATTTGCTTGCCATGCCTACCTTAGATTTCAATTTGACTGGTAGGTCAATAGACATCCTATGAAGATAACTCTGGACTGTATGATTTCTCTTGAGAATAATTTCACTGTTAAAGCCAATGTCGCTGTTCAGTACTTTGTGTATATCACAGTCATTTGGTAAATAAGCTACTATCAATGCAGCATCTCCGGATAACATATACGAATAATGAAGGCACTGGATGGAATGAGTGAATGGCACCTCTTTACTCACCAAATAAAAACTTTGCACAGGTAGTACATACAGTGGTTTTCCAATTTTTCTCACATTATGCACAGACAGATATGATGTATGTGATGAAGACATGACGATTGAACTCTTCGGAAAAAAACCTCGAAACATAGAATGAAAATCAATTCAGCATCATAATCAATAATATTTGCTTTTGCTAGCATTGTTTGTATTTCTAATTGATCTTATTATAATAAAAAATGTTATATATATATATATATATATATATATATATATATATATATATATATATATATATATATATATAT